AAGAATAAAACAATCAAAAAGCGCACACAAAAAAAAAAGTCCAAGCAAGCTCACTCGTAAACTGGTTTACGTCGCAACGGAGTTGCAAACTGCAGTTGCACAAATGCGCGCAAATAGATTTTCCCTGCAAATGAAGTTCATTGAGTGTTGCATTTAGGTGCGGTATACGTACGCGACAAAAAGTTTATATGTACATACATACATATATGTTTGCGTCTTCACCGAGCGTTGCTGACACTGGCACATTTCATTGTAAAGCATTGAAGTTGCTGTATTGCCATTAAGCGTGCAGCTGACCAGGTGATATAGCAAATGGATGAGGGAATTGCGTCGCGGCCAAACCAGAATTTATTCCCAACGTTAAGTGACGTACTACTTATGTACATATAACGGCGATAGGTAGACAGGCCGCGGCTTGCTAGCCAAACAGCTGGAGCGCCGGCGAAGACAATTGAAAAGTCGCACATTAAAAAAGAGGAAAACAAAGTTCAAGCAAGAAAAAAAAACTTTAAACGTTTGCGTGCGACAATTGAAGTTTGTGTATGATGAGCATTTTTCGCTTTTTTTTGCTTGCCGCCAAGCGATTGAGCTTTGCAGAAAGAAGAGCGTTGCATAGAGCAATGCAACAAAAGTAACAAAAAATTAAATATATAGTAAAATCACAACAATGCACTACACGCTGATAATGATATAGGCTTAATGCACTTACACGCATACATACACACTCACTTGCATCTTTCTGTTAAATAAAACAATTATTAAGCCTCAATAGGGATGGGGGGGGGGGCGAGCCAACCGGGCGTATGAGTTATGCGCTAGGCATGCAAGCAAACAAGATTTACTGCTGATACTATTTGTATGTATGTATGTATGCATGTATGTGTGTATGTTCGTTGTGTGTCAACTCAAGCGCGCATGAGAGTGTGTGACAATCGGTTTATTGTTTGGATTATGTTTGAGGCTATTGTTTTAGTTGAAGTGCTTTTCAGTTAAGGCCGCGCATGAGTGTCAGATAATCCACAACAACAAAAAAAAAAAAATAAGAAATCGGTTTGCGAAGAAAGCGTTGAATAGTGGAGGCAAGGAAAATGTATTGAGAAAAAAAGCGTACAAGAAAATATGTAATAATAAATAAAACATTAATTTGTATGCAATGTGAGTGAGAAAAATCACGATTATATTTTTTCACAGGAAAAGCACGTAAAAATTAATTAAGTGTATGAATGGTACTACAAACATTCGTCTGAACATACATACATTTTTCTAGTCGTAACAACAAATTGTATTTGTATTTACTGTAAACAACTAAGAAATTTTCTGAAGACCATGAATGAGGTTCAAGTGGCGCACAGAGGCGTGCTAGAGGGCGCATTGAAGACAAAGCTAGTTGTAGGTGTAACCGATTGCTGCTGAATAAACGCTGGGAAAGGCAAATGATTTGAATTTTTAATTTTTAAACACAGATGTGAGAAAATATCTACATATATTTTTCGGCAATTATTCTTCATGCTATTATTTAAAGAAAAAAAGCGTAAAATACATATGTAGCTAATTAGAAAAACATAAAAAAAAAATTAAAAAAATATTTTAAAAATCATTTTAATTAGCCTTGTATTTGAGTCATGGCGGAGAAGCGGTCTATTAGTTGAAAACTTATGTATGTATGTATGTATGTATGTAGATAGTATTTGCTATCCAGCGGTTTGCATATAATTGTTGCTCTTTCATTAAATTAGCCTGGATATATTTCCCAATACATATTTCAGTGCGCAACAAAAAAATGGAAATTCATAAGGAAAAACATTAAGAAATGCTGATATTCATTCATATGTACATATGTATGAGCATAATTTGCTTGATTATTACAATGTAATACCATGTAACACTTGAAAAACGAACGGGTGGGTGTACTTGAATAATGGCTCTGCATATCAGCAAGAAATTAAGCTACTTGTAAATAGATATTGCCATGAAGGACATTTAAAATGGAATCTGAAAGAGTCAACGCTCGCCTTAAGATGTTTGTTGTAAGTGAGCCAGAGTTTAAGTTGTTGTGAGCCAACTCAGCCAATTGAGCTACTGGATGAGCACCACTGTTTTAAACCTTATTCTTGATTGAAAAAATATGTCATAAAATAACGGTTGAATTTGGATCGGTACAAAGAAATTTTTTTTTTTATTTAAAAAAAATCTAACAACGCGAAGTAATTAATATACTCACGAAACTGTGTGCCAAATATAGCAAAACTGCTTTTTTAGCTTTTCTCTCTGACGTCAGTATGTTTTTTAAAAGGACTTTGTAGTTTCAAAGGCATGATTAATTCCAAAAATTATTCCAAAAATTCAGTGCAATGTAGAATAAAAATATGGATACCAAGTGGAAGAGAAAATTTTGCGGAATTAAAAAAAAAAAAAATTTTTTTGGCTAACAAGGACGAATTGGTATTGAAAATATCCTTTTAATTAATTTTGTTTTTTTTGAGCTAATAAAGTTAGAAGAATGAATTTCGAGGATGTGGTCGAGTGTAATTAGTCTTTAAAATATAATTTTTTCAATAATAATTATTGCAAAATTTCAAGGATATTAAAGGATAAAATTTCAAAAGGATATTTTCAATACCTAATCGTCTTTATACACCAAAAAATTTTACCTAATTTAATTCTATTTTTTTTTTTGTGAATATGTATATTAATATTTTTGTGTGTAAAATTTACTGTCGCACGGTGTAATCAGTTACTTGATCTCGGTACAGCATCAGATCACCCTGGGTTAGTATAAAACGCTACACTGCTTCTCCTCAGCGCTTTTCGAATGGTCACACAGAGTGGGTACTGTTGTCGTTTCAGACACAGATCTCGACAGCATACTCGCAACCACAAATAATACTGTCGCGAGGAAAGAGCTCTTGAGTTCCTTTAAGTTTGAACCTAATATAATTTAACGAAGTGTCTGTAAAGGTTTTGTAAGACAGAAGTTCTACATACAACTTCCATATGTTCCAAATGTTTGCTGGGTATAATAGTATTGGGTTGAGACGGTGCTGTCTATAAAATAATGGTGTAGTTTTTTTAAAGCGAAACAAAAAAAGCAAAAAACAACAAAGCACTTTTACAGTCACAGCAAGATTTTGTTATTGCGGAGTTTACCTCCATAAAAAAAAAATCATCCCCAATCATAGACACTTGCATAGAATATCATTAAGTTTGTAGGTAGAACTCAACAGGCAGCCAAAAACGTAGCAAATTACGAAAACGAAGGGGATGTTTTTCCATAGTACTATTTTTTCCAAGGTTTTTCCATATTATGAGACAAATAGTTTTTATACATACATACATAAATTAGTCAAATTTATATACATATTTATGGAATACATTGAAGACACTGAAGGTGAAAAGTGAACAAAAATTTTGATAAATATTTAAGAAAGGCCACAGCTGACGTTTTCTTGCTTTTTTTCGGAAAATTGTTCAATCACCAGTGCTCCTGAATGATAACTAATAGCAGAGTTTAATGCAGACATACAGGATTAGCTGTGTCTTACATATGTAGGCCGAAATCGATTTTCTAAGCACTCAAGCCCGTTGTACTTCAGGTCTGGAGAAGGGATACAAAGGATAGTGAAAAAAGGTGGACGTGGCGAGTGATTCAATTTCTATACAGCCAAATAATTCTCCTTCTTGTATAAACATTTCTGGAGTAACTTAAATACAAAAATAAGATTTTAACATTTCTCTATATTTTCTAGGTATAAAAACAGCAAAGAAAAGTAAAAAAAATGTAACCACAGCTTCTAAGATAAGTTTTATACCCATTATCACCAAATAAGGAAAAAAAGAAATTTCGACAAAGAGATCTTGAGCGTAATTTCGTGGAAATTAATGTTTACTGCTATCTGAGGAGCATTGCCTAACACGATGTAAAAGTTGTGTGTAAGCGAAAAGCTCCCAAATTACTGGCCCGATTTGCGTAGTTAAAATTAAAAAATAACATAGTCGTATCAGAGAGTAACATAGGGGGTTTTTCAAGACTTTCAAGAGGTAATTAATTAATTAATTAATTTCAGCTGATTTTTTATATGAAATTTCAACTTCTACAAAATTCCATGGTTCAATATTTAGGTTAAAACGCACCACGTTCTTCGGAAGCGTATAAACTCAAAATGTTTAATTTTTGCTAAAAAAAAGTTTAATCAAAAGTATTTGTGAAAGGTAATTTCGAAAAAAAAAAAATTGTTGTTGGTCGCCTTTTTTTGGTTACACCTGAGAACATTCGACAAAACATACTTTGTTTGGAGTAATCAAAATACTTTCTTAGCAAAAGTTTAATGATTTCTGACATTAGGGTGGTAGGAACTGAGAACGAGGTACTTAAGTTAGGTCAATGAACTTTAGAACGAAACAATTTTCTCCTCGAGACAAGATCCGACTGTACATTCTGAAGATATGACGAAGAATTTTAAAAGGCGACCCCTGCGATCGGCAAAAAAATCTAAATTGTGTTCCAATCAAAAACGTATCTCCTTGGCAAAAGTTTAATGATTTTTGGCGAGCTTTAATTTACTGACCCTAGGGTGGTATCTACTGATGCTAAGTACTACAACCGGGTACTTAAGGTCAATGAACTTTGCAACAAAAAAATGTTCTCCTCAACACCGATATACATACATACATATGTATCATACTTTAAGATCCGATCAATTAAATATAACTATTTCTCTCAACACAAGATTTGGTAACTATGAGTATATAAATATGTATGTATAATCAAATCATGTGTTCAGTTAAAGTAACTAACTCTTTTCTCAGTGTACTTATATCTATACCTTCTAGCAAAATATGCTGCAGTATTTTATTAAAATTTGCTGTAAAAAACCACCCTACTTCATCAGATATAGTTTTTTTTTTTGTTTTCTGACAAACATGAAAATTTGAGTTAGTATACTTTTGCAAAACGCGTGCGATATTTACTTACAACTAAAATCTGCTATTGCAATACTAACCTAATCCGAAACGTTTCTTTATCTTCTTCAATATATGCAGCTTTTTGTTGGAGGAGATACGATGATTTGGACACTCCACAACGACGACCTGACCGCCAGCGCCAGTGCTGGTTGGCATGTAGGTGGTAGCTTGATTTTCCGATAAGCCCATGGCTTTATGATTTTTTCGATTTGTTGTTGTTGCAAATAATAAATTAACTTTGGTTCAGTGGTGACTTGCGACGAGCGAGCAAGTTGCAAGAAATAAGTTTAGATTAAATTATAATCTATATTTTTTAAATAAAAAAACTGAGTGTCGTTACGACGTTTTGGTATGACAGATGCACATATGTAAGTACTAAAACAACAACAACAACGAGAGCAACAAGAAATTTTGATAATTTCCAATTTTTTTTTTTTCGTTTTTGTCAGAACATTTTGTTTAATTAAAAGTGTTAATGGTCTTTTTTTTAAATAAGTACTTAATATTTTTCAACACATTTTTACCGCTATTTGCGGGTAATTTCAATTTATGTTTATTTAAGTTTTTAGCACTTCTTGGCCAAAGTTTCTTGCACAAAGTTTTAGCTTCCTTCCTTTGAATTTCCGTTCGGCGTTTTTTTTGTTGTATTATTTATTAAGTTTTTGCTACATACTTGTTAATTTTATATTAGCTAGTTAACTTTTAATGATAGTTTACGGCTTCCTGTTGCGTTTTTCTTTTCTTTCGTTCAACTGCGAGCGGAAGCAATGAAATTAAACTCAGCCAACACTCGACACAAAAATTGCTTAGCGGCAGCATGGGCTGCAGGAGAAATGCTTCTAAATGACGCTAGTAGCAGCAGCAGCAGCAACATTGGCTATGTAATCGAGCGCCAGTAAGCCAAACTGAAGACCGCGAACGAGCGTGATAACGACGACCGTATTTACTACAGAAAGCTTTTTGCGAATCGCGCGAAATGCGATCTTAAACGTCTGACGTGAGAATTTTAACTGAATAACCCTGTCGTCAGCAGTCAGCAGCGGTGGTGGCACACACAGTTCCTGTGCCGAAGAAAGGCCAGGTCAACAAAGTTGAGCATAATGGAGCAGCTGAAAACTATGATCGCACTCATACAGTCTTCTATGTATT